TACAGGATTTCGAAAAGTTAACATGATCCACCCGGATCTTTGATTTTTTTTTTCTCAACTACACAGAGAGTAACTTTCTTCGACGGTACTTTTGAGCTTCGACGATCCTACGCCTCTTTTATCGTATTCCCAATATCGTAGTCACTTATTTTTTCAGCGTTTATGTACTTTGACTTTTTGCTTGACGCTTTTGAATTTTATATTATTATTCTTTAATCTCACGATAACAGCGCCTGCCACTCTAGTCGTTAACACGAGAACTTTAATCTTTCCTCGTGGCCAACCTTTATTTCCAGCCTTTGAACTCCCTGCTGGGCCATTTCTCCCTGGCGGCTGACTAGTCGAACTCGGGGATTCTCTTACTTGGAAATCGCTCCGAGTATTTAAGATTCGACTCTGTCTTTGCAAAACAGTACGGTATAATTAACCTTGCCTCACCTTGCCTCCTATTAGGTGGAAGCAGTCTTGGCACTTGCTGCTATTAATAGTAACCTAGATTTCTTGTCCGGTAACTCGGGCACTAAGGCCCCCCTTGCACCCTCACGCATAGTTACGGTAAACGCAGGTCTTCATTGAAGTTCTTCCCCTCGCTCAAAGCCAACTTCAGTTCGGTAAATGCACCTCGAGTGCAGCTTAAACGAACAATCTGCACACAATAACTGGGCAGAGCATCGCTTCTTGAAGCGATCATCCTTCACGGGGTGAAGGAAGTTTTGGAAAGTGGAACATATACATTTTCCCAGTCGTACAATTATTTATGATTAATCATAATTTTTTTACTTATCCTCGTTCATAGCTGTACAGCTAACAAAGTTATGTATACTACATACATAAATAGGCACTGTGCAAATACATAAGTCAACGCGTGCTTTACTTTTTATATTTTGAGCCATACTTTCATTTGCATATTTATCTTGACTCCTTATGGCCTGTACTAGGCTTCCCCCCTCCCCTCTTGTCCTCTCTTACCGCCCCTCAGTCCCCTTGATCATTTTGACTCCATCCTTTCTTATTCTCACGTGACAAATTGCACGAGCTTTTCAGCTGAATCGTCCGGAAGCAAGTGCCGTTCTCTCTAGCGCTTATTGCCACTTCGCTCTCGCGCTTCTAATATTTTGAAGCTTTTGACCTTTTTCGCCATTCGAGCTGTAATCTTAGCCCACTCCTGTGCCCATTCGGCTGGTATCACTTGGTCTTTGGCGGCGACGTGACTTTCAACCAGCTTGACGTTCATTTTGAAAAATTTCAAAATTTCCGTAACAACTTGACACCTATGCCAGTTCAATTAGCGAGGTCGAACGGCTAACATTGCCACTGATACGGATCAATTAGCGAGTCAGCAGGCAGCGCGCTCGGGATTTCTTGACTACGCTGACTGGTCCTACGCGTTTCTCAAAAGTCAATGACTTACTTGACGCTCCGACATTCCAGTACGAATGTGGCGTGCGTGTTAGCTGGTTCACAAGTTGGCCGTGTTGGCTGGTGCAGTTAAGCACTTCGTTAGACGTACCAAGAAACGCCAGCAGTACGAGCTACAGTCGATTGACGAGTAGGTACTAAGTTTGGGGGACTCGTTTACATTGATACTCGGAGGAAGATGACCCCCTGCGAAACGTTTGACTCGAGGGACTTATGTTTAGTCGATTCACGAGTTTTCTATGATTTTTTTGACTTTGAGTTTTTTAGCTCTGCATTATTTGCGAACTGTCAAAAATACTGATTCGCACTCGTGGACCGACTATAGGACTGCATTATTTAGATGCTAACAACGCGTCGAGTCAGGCGTGACAACTGTCCGAGCATCTATCATGTACGTGAGGAAAACTTATGATCGCTACTGTACTTACTGTTGATTTGTGCGAAACGAGAATTCTGCGATAAAAGTGATTCTCCTTATTGACTCGTAACAATCTGCTTCAGTCTCGACGCTTTCCTAATCACTACTGAACGTCTAGAAGTTCTCGTGGGAGCCTGGACCTAAAGGAAACTCATAAAACGACTCGTTATCTCCTACGGGTTATTAACCATTCAGCTCTACTCGGCAGAGGAACGAAAATTCATCTTACTCGAAGAATCGACTAATTTCTATCTCCTCCAAGAGTAGTTCGTCCCTTGGTCCAGTGGGGCGGGACGATCGCTGAAGTAAAAGAAAAATGTTAAATTTTTCGTAATCTTCCTATTTCATTCATCATCAAAAATTTATTCCATTTCCACTCTATGACGCTTGCCATTTTGCTTCTCGAATCGAATTTCAATTGCATCGGCAAATTATACGAGATTTCAATCACTGTCGTGATCGCAACTTGATAACACGAATTGCACTTTGTCGCAGAGTTATCTTTTAACTCGCCCTGTTCGATTTTCGCCAATAAACTAGAAATTTATCTAGGTTACGGCACACTACGTTATCACGCTACACCAAACTTGGTCATTTAAAGTGATATCCCCCATTTACGTTTATTGGTTACGTTACTCGACGTACACTCGGAGTGAAATTTTTTCTAAAATACGTATACACTCCACTACCGTCCTGCCCTCTGAAATTATCCCGGTTGCCCATAAATTCGCGATAACGCGCAACGCAGCTACAGCCGGGCCTGCAGCCAGCGGTACGATCAAGATTGGTTGAGTGTCCCGGCATAACTTGTACCTTCTGAGCAAAAGCCCATCGTGGCTCAAGAGCTAACAATACCCAGATCAAAGATCAGTCATTGACATCAGCTGACAGGCATAAGCGTCACTCGATATTCATCGCAACTTAGAGACTCATCCAGTTTCTCGGGGAAGCTTTATTCTCATATTTTTTATTTTTTATCTCTCTTCCTACTGTACCTGTTTGCAATTTTACCTCCTGTGGCAGCTTTTAGCTTATTTGTTTTTTGGCTCCTTTAACCTTCCTCACCTTCGTCTCTTTCTCATACGGATCGCCGGTGTGGACGAAGCTTTCTTAAAGCTCGCTTCGAACATGCGCTCGAGATATGCAATCAATTCATTCGATTTGCCAGACGATCGAAGCATCGCTCAAACGTAAAATACTTTTTGACGGATGGGAAATTGCGAAATACTTCGAATTTGCGAAGACTAACGATAAAGGTGCAATCGAAATAACTCCTTACGTAACGTTCGTTTGGTATGCGACGATCGGTTTAATTACGTCATACCAGGACTACTCCTCCAGCAGACAACTGTCAAGTCCATTTTACCAATGTATTCGCTCCGATTGGATGAATTGATTACAGTTACAGTTGTCGGGCTCCAATTGGATTCTCGATAGTTTCTCAGAATATCACCAAGTTATTTAGATTGCTTTGCTGCTAAAATGGGGGTATTGAGAATCGATCGCGCTTAAGCTATGCAACTTTTTTTCTCTCTGTTCCCTTTATACTGGCATTGTGCATTCGATTGTTCGTAAACACACGGCTCCGTATTTTAAGAAACAAAACGTACTTTTTTTTTTATCAGGCGCATTTACTTTAGTCGCCTTATCTATTGTCTCGCGCTTATCTGCCATTCGGACGATACTTATACATTCTGCTGTGTTTACACGTAGCACGTGTTCGTGATTGTCTGGTTAGGTTGATTTAGAAATTGTCACGTGGCGATTGAATTTTATTTGGAATTTTTGAGAAAGAAGCAGATAAAGACCACTCCCATGTTACACACTCGTATTTGATCCGGAGACGCATTAAAAAGAGTGAATGCCGTAGGCGTCACGATAAAGTAAAAAAACGGCGCCCGATCGAAGATAAGGAAATAGCCTAAATCCTACGTAAATGTCTCTAGGGACAAATACCCTTTCTTACGTTTGCTTGGATTAAATCTTTGGATCACTTCCAAAAGGACGTCGAAACATTTCCAACTACTGAATGTCTGACGTTCTATACGGGACGCTTAACCCTTTACGTACTACAGGATGTTTTATAAATAATGTATAGACTCTACTTCCTCCTCAATTATCTAATTGCCTTACATGGCTTTTGTGTGCTTGATTTGATTAATTTTATTATCATATCCGTCCCAATGATTTCTTTCTTGTTACGTATGCCACGTAACATTTGTGCTTGAAGTAAATATATGTGCGTGTATATACACACACGCTTGACAAACGCTACTCACTTTAGTTTATTTGACTTTCGCATTCGCGGTTTACGCGAACGTCACTTCTTGCGCAATGCCGTGCGTTACTCGACATTAACCGTTATTACGATATTTTTCATGAAATCCTGCCAAGTAAAAAAAACGAGCAGTCTCTCTCGATTTCACGTGAAATTTTCATCAAGCTTATCCAACTGTCCGAGCAATTATTTCAGTGTAAAAGATTTAACGGTTTGATTGAAAAAAATGTACACGTCAAAACTGGTTTTAGCGGTACGCATAGACTTATCTACCTGCAGGTATCTAAATGCACGGTAGAGCGATCGGTGCGCCTCTTCGGGCGAGTCTAGCAAGTAAGTAAGCGGAAAGTCATTTAAAAGTAATTTCGAAGTGTGGCGAGGCGAAAAGTTGCCGGCGTCGAAAGTTCGCGCACGGGGAGACCGAAAACCGAAGTAATCCGATCGACGTCGATTCACGTCGAATGACCCGTTCGCGAGAGTTCGACAATCATCGGGTACATTCAGTTCCCGGTATTACGTAAGCGATGCTTGTGCAACCAGTTGACTTTCGTCAGTGCAGTGACGTGTCCTTATGCAAAGACGCACGCGGAGCCACGTCCACGTTATTTTCACTCTCCTTCTCTGTCATCCATATATTAACTTGGGCCAGTCGATTAATCGAGATATTTAATAATCGTACCGACAAGTTGCTCGGCTACTGATTTTCTTTATCCGAATCTACATCGTACACCTTTTCCCTGTACGAATTCACGCGCAATTATGTTTGCTCGCTTGCTATTGTTCTTTTTGGCACTTTTCACTCCAACGCTACCTCGTAACCTCGTGCTATCATTGAGATTGCACGACCTTAAGGCCTTTCACTAGAAATTACTTGTGCCGCTTATCCTTGGCACTTTATTAATATGACTTAGGGGCCGGTTCCACAAACACGGTTTATTGTTTAAACTCGGTTTATCTCCGCTATGAGCCAATCAGAAATTTGTATCTTGAAGACAAAAGAAGTTTAAACGATAAACCGTGTTTGTCGAACCGGCCCTTACCTGTTTGCCGAAGCACGTTTACTGGGTGCGTTACGGAGCATCCCACGATTTTTGCTACTTTACCTACTGCCAATTTCTGTTCCAATAATGTCTCGGGAAACTTGAGAGTAACGGTACGTGGAACAAGTGTACTTTACCTTTGAATCCAACGCTCGGCAAAGCGACGACTGTATGTTAGATCTGGATTGACATGAGAAAATTATATGTACGGAGGGTATAGCACGGCTTGGGGTTCTTTTCTGGATACAACTGACAGGCATTATTTTGGGGTTCTTAACGGTTGCATTACTGCGATCCATCTTGACTGTGAAATTTACTACGCGAAATGGGCAATTTATTGGAACGCGGCGACAGCCTGACGACCAAAGAATAATAGGGAACAGGGAAATGAGACTCCTAGTACGGGAAGCAAGAAGACGCCGTGAGGGAACCGGGCTGAATAGACGCGCGGCCGTTCGTGCCAGACGCTAAGGAATCGGGAGGCTTCGGGAGAGATCGGTAACGTTCGGCCCGAGCGCTCTACGAGGCGAACTGTCGTTGGGATTAGTAGGCGACTAGAGCGGAGCTGGATTCGATTGACATCGAGTTGTTGACGTAATTTTTGTTTTCCTTTCGTATATCTATAGAGTATCTAGTAATTTCGGTGACGTATCGCGTCCTTGTCGTTGACTCTTAGAATAAGTTACGTACGAAAGCTGAGTCTTGTTGTGGTTAGAAAAAAAAGTGCGTGAGACAAAAAGTTGATGGAATCATTTTAAAAGTACTTCCCCATTATCGGGGCACACGTGTTTGACGTCAAAGCTCCGCATGACGTCATAATGATGATGTCAAACTCGTACGTGGCTTATTTGTAAAGGCTTAATGACTTTTTGTCTACACTTTTACTTCGCTTAGCCCATGGCCAGGAAACGGGAGACAAAAATAATTTCCGAACGTTATGCCGTGCTGTTACATGCCGCGCGCCTGGATTGCGTAACGTTTACGAGAGTGCACATTTAATGAACACGTGAAGCGATTCTCTTGAAACACTTTTTCGTTGGCATTTTTAATGGTGAGGTTGACATACTTTTTTGATGGAATTTTCTAAATCCTTTTTCTTTAATTTTTCGTACGCCTCTTAAATGCTTTGGTAAATCGACTGAATGTTTTGGTGGGATTAATTAATTTTTTACGAGCTTCTCGTTCGATGTATTTTTGATGCCCTGTAGAATGGTGAATCTGTAAGGGGAAAAAAGAGTAAGTGGACCGATTGCTGGGAATGAAATTTAACACTAGGAAGATAGGAGTCATTGTAACGAGGATAGCGCAATAATAAGCAGGATGCACACGCTGCCGTCCTACTCGAATTACACGAGGAAGTTGCATCTAATTGCATTATCTTAATTAGTTCTCTGGATTTAAAAATTCTTCTCTCGCCACTTGTAATATTTTTATCACGACCCAGTTTGGCCGTTATTTTGATACTTGTTTGTTTTTACTGTCAACGGAAGTCATAGCAATCACGACAGTTTGAGAAATTCACTTGTCATTCGAATTGCTGACTGATAGTTTACTTAGCTCCTATTCAATGTGTCTCACAGTTGGCAAGTTAGTTACTCATTGAATTTCACCAGATTATTGGTTTGAATTACGTATCGAACTGTTTCCGAACTAGTCCCAGGGATAAATGGCGGATTCCTGGCACTTGTCCGGCTGACGGCCGACCTGCTTTTCACAAGAAATCCCTATCAATTTAGACGATTTCAAGTTAGCCAGTTTGCTAGCCGCTCGAGCAACTGACGTTTGTGTTGGTTACTGAGAAGACATATTTCCGAGGGGCAATCTTCGCATGACTTCGAACGTAAAAGAGTCCCCTAGACTTCAGATTCAACTCGTGGTTCAATTTACTATGTATTACGCAATACATTGAAAAAAAAAAACACAATACGAGAATAATTCTTTGATATGGTGCATAGAAAAAAAAAAAAAAAAAAAAAAAAGAAAAAATTGGAAATCGAAAATTTCTTAATTCCACGATTGACACTGGATAACGAGAGTACAGGAAATCTTTTCCGTTGCTGAGTATTAAATGAAAATTTTTAATTTTCCTAAAACACCGACCACATGCTGCACCGGATACATAACTACACACTAGGATTCCTGGTTATACGGACGATACTTGCCACGTATATCTGTATGTATTCACAGAGTATGTGACCCACTTTCCGCAATATCACTCTGGTTACTTCCCCGTGTATCCATTCGCGCGGAAAAATAGAACCATGTCGCGGTTTTGCCACGCGGATGGATGACAAGTTTCAGGAACAAAATTTTTTTAGTTTTTGAAAATTTTTTCAAAACCTTACTGTAGACATAAATCACTAAAGGGGTTCATGGAATTGACGCGAGATAAAGGGATTGATCGGGTAACAAGATTTTTTCTGAACCTCCAGCCAGCAGAGTACAAGATCAATCGCAACCGCCTGGACATTTATCTACACGATACCGTATAAGGATTTACTACCGGAAGTGTGTTCCCTAAAAAGCTATAAAGGTATATCAAAGATACGTGTTAATTTGAATCGCGTCGTATTTTAAACACAGTCGAGAATCAGGAGTGGAACGTATATGCGGTAATACATGGTCTAATATAAATAGCTGATCGTTCTTCATAGATATATGTATGTAGATTTCCGTGGGACTTCCGGCTGGGAATTTAAATGTACATATAAATCAGAAGTGCGCTGCGCGCGAGACTTTGCTAACTCAGCTGTGGTAAAATTTTTTATTTCTCTATCCGACAATAATCGTGTACAGTATTGAGCATGTACTTTTCTTCATACTTCACATGTAAACTTCATCGTGAATTGTACTTACTTGTTACTGTACTGTCAATACTTGTACTGTCTTATGTTATACTATATCTATATCTGCAAACGGTCCGATTGGTTCACTCAGCGAATTATGGAATTCCCCCAAGTTCGCCGAAGAACTTTGCCAAGGAATTGAAAGACCTATATCCGTAGAGTCAGGTGCGAAAGCAGCCTGGCGTTACAGCCGAAAATAAAAGAGAAAAGGTACCCAAGGGATGAAGGATAACGAGTAAAAAATAAAGGACGCGAAAAAACGTAACTTCAGCTTTGAGAATACGCTGATACGACTCACGAAAGTCAGCTGACTTGAATCTTTATGTGATTCAGCTACTAGCATGATGTAATAACTTGCTGACTCCTCAGCATGTCATCTTATATATATATATATATATTCGTTAGAATATCGAAGAATCACATGACTGTCATAGACTTCCGGTCTGCTTTGTATTGTTGTAACGTATGAGTACGCCAGTTAATGTGAGTGCTTCTGGTGTGCATGTGTATGTGTATGTGTGTGGATAGGCCCCATTCCGAATACACCTATTAGGAGTCGTTCGATTCCCACCTAATCAAATCGAAATAATACCGGTCAAACGAATTGTCGTCCCTTTCACGAAATAACCAGCGAGCGAGTAAGATGTGTCTCCGAACAATACACTAGATAGTACGCTCTGGGTGATAGGGCCCTGATATACATAGCATCATCGACATTAGAAATATTTCGTTAAACATTTGAGGAACGGGGATCGGACACGGCGACAATTCGAATAGACCACACCGTAGGAACCAAGTATAAACTCCAATTCAACAAAGAATCAACTACAATTCAGCAAAACATAACTACCAATCATCTCCATCGAAATCATCGGCTAGATCAATAATAGGTATATATATAAGTATTATTATAGAAACTAACTTAAGAGCGTATTTTAAATCGTAGAATGAAACTTTTATATATGTGATTGTTAAAATGCTGGACTTATATTATTAATTCATTTAAGTTAATGTACAATTAGATGTAACTAGATCGTGATTTCAGTTCATATCATCACTCGCCCGATAATACATACATGATTTGGTTTGAGAATAGAAAAAATTAAATAGTTTGCTTATATTGTTAAGAGAATTTTGAAAATTTATTTATTTCTTTCATATTAATAAAACGAATAGTTATAGTGTATGTCGATATTATTATTTTTTCCTTACTGACTTGTACTTTTCCTCAAAGAGATACAAATTGTGACATAATGAATAGCCTTTATGAGCAATTTCATATAACGATCATTAAATTCTTCCATTTAGCGTTAATTGTCAGATAAATTTGCCTTGTCCTTAGTCTGAAAAATTGGATTTTCAAGGGAGTCGAGATTGCCTGAATTTTTTCATTTTTTTCTTTCTTTTTTTGGTACTCTACAATAACCTGCTTAGTTATCAGCGGGTTTCACTATAAGTACATAAGAACTTAAGTAATCAACTGCTATACATAAGTAATAAAGTCAACAATGAATAATCCATGTGTAAGTATAGTTCGTAAATGGGATTATTGCGGGACGAGGGAATTCTAATGAACGCCGAGGCACGATAATTACCCGGTGACTAAAAGTCTCGAAAAATTCCGATAACATGTCAAATTAATTGACGATCTCTTTTGTTTGTTATAGGTAATTACAAGGCTCCACGTTAATCTGCATGTAATCATATAACAGCTAATCTTCAATGGTATGTACAGATATACATGTATCGTTGCGTTTTCACTCTAACCTCCATTCGGCTAGCGCGTCACGCTGTTCTGCCTACCGGTTATACCGTGTGTGCAATTGAGCTGGTGCATGCTGACGGTTCAGTCGCTACAGGATACATGGCGCATAACCATCCTCGGGGAATGTGAGAAAATCCACGATGCGAGTCACGCACGTGGACAGAGTAGCACGAAGGGCGTAGGCAAAGTTCGCCTATGTGAATCCAATACATATGTGTATATGCATTTTTTATTGGACGCGCTTAAAAAATGCACTACAAGCGTTCAGAGTTGCATCGCTCGGGTCAGGTTCGCATCTTATTACCAAGAATGCTCGATGCGTATCGCATTATAAGGGGGAAGTATTCGAAATTTATTTTCTTTTTTAATTAATATTTTTTTTTGCTTTATAGGAATTCGGCGAGCAACATTCTTTTGAAAATTTAGTCGCGGTCTCGTCTGAGAGCAGACTTGGAATTTGCGTAGAATCTCTCTAGGGAACCTCAGAATCCCTTGTGAACTTTCTTATAGCCCGTTGACTAGGATCTTTGGCGTTTGAAAAACGGGATGCTGCGTTATCGTTGTAACTGCTTTCTGCAAGGATATTATGATTTTCTGGTTTCTCGTTGAATTATTTAGAGCTAACCGGATCGATATGTCCGACGTTTGACAAGATCCTTGAAATTTTTTACCTTCAACTGGCACGGACATGGCTATTTGGGTCAAGTCAGTCTTTACCGGATTAAACGGATTGATCTGCTTGCAGGAGTGAAGAATTAAGGAAAAAAAAGAGCTCGTTAACGTAATTTCAAGTGAGGTATCCTCCTGATGGTCTCTATAGGCGGAATTGTTTCCATGGTAACTGTACCAGGAGGCTGGATATTATGAATGATAATTTTTTACAATTATGTGAAATTTTTTTGTCGTAAAAAAGAAACTTTTCCGGGTTTCGAACGGTCGTCATTCGTGGAAATATATTTGCCCTCGATATTCTTCGTGATCCATCCGATCATAGTCTACGAACTGCATGGAAATCCGATGGGCTGTTATCGCAATTAACTAGAACCAGTTTTGATTTAGTTAAGTCGAGTGAAAATTTTAATGCGTGGGTATAGATCAATATGTGATCTCGTCTTGGAAACGTATCTTATCTAATCTATCCCACACTTGATATTTATAGATCTCAATTTTGGAAGTGATAAATTACAAATCCAAAATAAATCTCCCATTCGAATTATATTCTGCTTGATGCCGAAAAGATCGATCTGGGATCTATTGAAAGTCACTTTTTTTCAAATGGGATATCTAATATGGAATTAGTCTCATATCCCATACATGAGACTTCCTAAACGGGATCTTGTGTGGATATATAAAAATGATAAAAATTGTTACAAGGGGTACCACGGAAATTGAACTGCAGTGATTTTGTTAATCCGTACAATAAATATCCTCGAAACTCGTTGCTGATCCTGTCTGGTTGCTGCTATTTATTTGACTCAGTTGCGGCTCACTTACTGTACCTAATCCTAAAGGCAACTATCGTTATTCCACTAATCCGAAAATCTCTGAGACGTATATAACAAATAAGCCAGACTTAAGTCCACCCATTTGTCCAATGTTTTATTGTCATTTATTAAATGCATGTAGGTGCTGGTTAATTGAATTTCGTGAGATAAAATTTTTAAGTAAGAACCCTGAAGTTAACCCGAGGAGAGCACAAGTTTAAATGGCGCAGGGTTATCACTGTAAGTAATTTCGTATCACCAGTTTATTTTACATGACAGGAATACGAGTAAATCCCCGTCTCCGATTTACACGTGGTGAATTTACCAGGTTACTACTTGATAACCCACGGAAGATCGTTATCAGTCGGAACATAGTGATTTCAGGAATTCCTCGTATTGATAAAAATGAACGTCTGTACGTGCGTTATCGCATACGTGTATTTTGATATTGCTTGAAATAATGACTATCGATATGAATTTTGTCTGGTTATCGAACGCAGATATTTATGTGTTTATCTTTATGTTACTTTTTGAAAAGTAGGGGATGTACATTCGATACGTGTTTAGGAGCCGTTTTAATCGAGGAAATACGTCTCGCGTATTATTACTCGATTACGTCGAAGAAAACATATGGTTAGCGATTTACTTAGAATCGAAATTCAGTGCGATCAATCTGGAGATGCAGTAAATGTCGAAAATATCTTAAACATTCGATAGATTTTCGTGGATAGAATTCACGGTGTATTCGAAGCACGTGCTTCAAATACTGTATACTCGAGACACCCTTTATATCGAAGTCTTCTGTGCAGTGCATTATTCGGGAAATAGCGAGAACCCTTTTACGATGGGAAATCTACTTAACTCGTGACGAGTGGCGGCGAAGACAAGTCCGATGAAGAAATTTCCATATACGTAAATGACGGAAATGCTCGCAGATTAAGCAAAATTCTCATCTCGCTGAACGTTGTAGGACCTTTGAAAATTCTATTTCAACGTCGAGAAATGTCAGAACGACTGGCGTTCATTTGAATTTCCCGCCTCGCCAGGCTCCCTTTCACGCGCCATACTTTTTCACCGCTCTGGCGCTCCCGTCCTTTCTTAAATTTCTATGCAAATAGCGACTATCTGCTGTTTTCATGAAAATTTATTTATCTCGCATTTTCTCAAATTTTTCTCGCGATGCGATACTCGTGGATCGAAACGTTCACGTATATTCGATAGTCGGAACCTCGACCTTGCTTCCTTGCCGCGAGGGAAACAAAAATTAACCCGAGATGCAGGTTAATTTTAACTTTTTCTAACTAAGTGTAAACTGATTTGAAACTGTCCGGTACAATAGAAACTTTCCAATTAAAGAAGAAGACTGTCTCGAAGGATTCTGCAGGGAATAATCGTAGCAATTTCAAAGCATTACGGAGTCGTCAATCTTCGCAGTGATGACTAATGAAAGATGTAAATAAACGTAAAAATTTTTATTGCACAAATTACAAAAAAAAAAAAAACCACGTAGAATTATATGATCAAAAAAGTAAGGAACTCCAAATTTACATGTGCATCGGAAAAAAGTCAATCACCGCGTAGCAAGTTTCTACGTTCGCTAAATACAGCTAACAAAACGGAACTCGCCATGTAAAATTGTATTTCATGAAAACATCGTTCCAATTTCGCAATTTTTCATTTTACATACTAACTTCGGCTATACCAACCGCAATAGTTAACATTTAAAAGAATTTTCGGCTGTAGAAAATAATTTTTTGTTATGTCTTTCGAACACTTTTTTTTTCCGCGTAGGCCTGTTTCCTGATGCACAACACCCATAAGTACTAATCGTTACACGAGTCTACTGAATCATCACGCAGCTATACCAACCATTAGCAAACACATCGTATCCAGCCTTAACACCCTATATACATATCAATTGAACATAATAGGTATTATCTCAAACCGAGTATACCTCAGCGAGCTGTTCCGCACGTGAACGTACTATAGACTCGGAAGCTCTACATGCTCAGCAAGTGCATCCGGAATTTTTACATAAAACCCGTCCGTTCATCCATATATCTATATATTATTATACCTTCGCCATCTTCCCCCTCCACGCTTCGCTCGCCTCTGTCCTACTAAATCAAGCAAGCATCTTCACCATTTTTAAATCTGACTTCGAGGTCAGACACTTCCAAAGTACTTCGGTTGCCGGAGTGAAGGAAATTACATAACAGCAACACGTCCAATGCAGTCATTACATATGTCCTTCCTACAAAACATACTGAGAATGCGAATTAATGCTCGGTTATTAAATGGCAAATTAAACGAATAAGATTGAATGACAGATTGCTGGAAAAATGACCTAGTGTCGCAACTTGATTTGGAGTAACGAGATCACTCTCCAAGATTCGTCTGGAGGAAGTACTGCTCAGCTGGTGTCAGCAGTATCCGCAGTGTCAGCAGTATCAGCAGTGTCAGGGCTCCGAAACGGAGGTCATTCGCAGTGGCAGCGTTCGTCAGGAAGCTTTGAGCCAAAAAGGGGTTATCTGGCAGGGCCTTATAGCAGTGCCTTATAGCAGTGTTCCAACGGTATAGCCAGGGCTGCCATCCGGAAGGTTGGTTAGCCTGAAACATTAATGTGTCGCCGATGAGGATA